CCACTGCCTTTCGGATCGGAAAATCAATTTCCTTTAAACTTTGCCCATGAATATATCTTAGTCCAAAAGTAATTGAAACCGCATTAGTTTCTGAAAATATTTCAAAATAAAATTTTTCGGGAGGAAAATCACTTCAGCACTCGGCGGCCAAATTTTCGCAGTGACAAAGAGTGAAAATAGCCCAAATTGCCGAGTTCACCACTTCAAAGTTTTGCACTTTCAACGATTTTTTTCACTTCCTAGGACTAAATTGGTCCTTAAATGATGTAAAGGACACAATTTTGGTCTTTCAAAAACAACTCGTGTCTACTAAATATTTTTTGATTTACACCCACCGTGCCGTACGCAGGAAATGACTCAAAAATGCATATTTTCATCCTAGCACTGTGCAAAATCCCCACATCTTCTAAACAAAATGTCTTTTCAGACCAACAAAGGGAATGTCCAAAAACATAGAAACATAAAAATATGTTGTGATTTTAACGATTTATTAGCACAGCTGATCGACGAAATATGCCTATTTTCTGTTATGACTGTTTACAATACACGATGCAAGGTCTTAATGCAAAGCCCGAATAACACAATAATTCATCAAATGTATCAAGTATTTTAAACTTTTTGTGACTTTTGACATAATGGAACATCATGCAGGAAAGGAAAGCCTTTAAGCCGAACGCATTAATACTACAGGTGTACCTGTTTACAGCGCTTGATCCGATCGAATCGTCTTCGCTGTGTACACAAAACTGATATCACATGATGGCGCCTGTCACGCATTCCTATATCTGGAATCGTTACGCCGCGAAAACACTTTTTGCTAGGCTGACTAAAACTGACAGGCAGGAAATTATCTTATCAATAGAGTATTCTATTATATTTATTGCTGTTTTCGTTGACAAGCTACAATATCAAGAATCATGCATGCATAAGTGCCCAGTGCATTAACAACAGCAACATTTTAGTTTTCCAGGAACAGGCTCCTATCCATTCAGGTTAGGATTTATAAAACAATTGGTCGTCGCTATGAGCTTTCACTTTGTTTTGTTTTATGTTTGTCGTTAATGTTTTTATTTATTATTTTTTAAATATATTTCATATTTCTGGTAGCCCGTGGTATTAAACCGACGAGTACCTGTTCTCAGGTCTTATCAAGCTCCCTGACTCTGGGTGGGGTTAGGAATAGGGGTGGAGTGTGCTAGTCCGCTAGACTGTTCACAGTCCTCTATTTTTCCGTAAATCGTCGGTATCAAGCACATTCTCTAACAGGTGGCCTTCTTGGTTTTAAAATGTACCGGGTTTAGCCTGGGGATGACTATGAAATCTACTCTTGGGGCAGCGGACCCAAGAAGGCCCGCACATCTGGACGATTTTACGGAAAGATAAGGGACAGTGAACAGTCTAGTGGCCCGCAAGCAAACATCCCCCTTGCTATTATCCTAGAACAAATACTGTATCTTTGAAATTAGGTTACCCTGCATTTAAAACTGGCGTGCTGGTTTACCTCGTTTAGGGCTTTCGATTTGGACTCTATTCCTTCCGTTTCCGACTAGTAGTTTTAGCCAGGGCTAAAAGCGCCGCTCTGACTCGTTAACATACTAAAAGTTGTACCCCAGAAAAAAAAAATTAATAAAAATAGTGTAATGCTAACCGGTGACGGCAACGAGAAATGCAATAAAAAATCAATAGGGCTTAAGAGCGAAAAAAAAAGTTTGCACGTGCAGCACATTTTTTTGTACATTTCTTTGCCATTGTTTTGCACGACTTCAAAGTACGTGAAACGTCCTAGTTGCACGTTTTATGGAGAAAAAATCGTATATGTTCCCACGTTCCATTTTTGTTTCACTGCCGCTCATTTTAACCTTGCTGGCCGCTAACATTTGTCATTTTCTCATCGCAGCTTTGAATTTTTTTTATGTTTTTTTCTTCCGCGATGAACTTCGTCTGCTTTCTTTTTTTTCTTTTTGTTTTGTTTTGTCAGTTTCGCTCTAGCTCTTTCTCTGTTATCGGTGTCAGTGTAATGGTAGTAGGGGGAAACAGTCGAACGCATGATCACGTGATTACGAAATTTTCTCGCATCTTACAGGTTACCATTTTTTTTTCGCGCGCGCGAGAGCTTCGCTAATACTCATTCTCTATTACGGAAAGTGGTTAATTATTAATAGTGCCATATTTTCAAATTCTTGTCCCGTTATTGCCGAAATGCACATATTAAGCTAGCGATTTTCCTGAAAGGTTGTGAATTCACAGTGAGCCCGCGGAAGAAAAATGAGTAATACTAGGCAGGGTACAAACTCACCGAGGTAGAGTCGTTTTAACTTCTTCTCGCGTCTTTTCCAACAATCTTTTTCACTACACAAGAGCACTCTACAACCATTTTAGTTATCTTTTGAAGAAGATCAGGTTTCCAGGTTCTTGTGCCAAATGAAATCCCAAGCAAATTGCTTTTGAAAGAAAAAGAGTGATTTCTGTGAGCCATCTCGCACATACATCAGAGGACGTTTGGCAGCAATTGTTTCCACAGCTTCGCTGCCATTTCTTTCTCCAGGTTCCTCATCGTCCGCTTAGTATGTATAGTCTTTTATTTTTTTTTTCAAATGATTTTGTTATAAAAATATTGCGAAAAAAATCGTTAAATTTTTACTTTTGAACCACTCGGCTTTGGTAAACATTCGTGTGCGATCTGCGTTGCCAGCCCTCTGCCCCTCAAGGGGCACCTCTTCAGCTCAAAAATGGTATACAAAGGGTGGGTTGGACGATCAGGCTGGAGTCTCCCAGTATAACACTTTGTTGTATACCCCACCCCCTCCGATAGGGCGGAAAGGTAAGTTCGCTAATTAGACATATTGGTGTTGTTGTTGTTGTTTTGTTTTTGCAATTCTCGTTGCCGTTGCAGGTTAGCATCACACGATTTTCTTTTTTGCTGGAGTACAACTTCAAGTATATCAACAAGAGCTGCTCTTTTAGCCCTGTCTAAATCTATATATTAGCGAGTTTGAAAGAAATCGAAAGCGCTAAACGAGGTAAACCACCATGCCACTTCACAGTCCTTAAATTCTTTACTAAGTCCTTAAATTTTCCGTAAATTCGTCGGGATCAAGCACATTCTCTAACAGGTGGCTATCTTGGTTTCAGATGTACCGGGTTTAGCCTGGGGACGATAATGATACAGATACAGTATTTGTTCTAGAATAATAGCAAGGGGGGTATTTGCTTGCAGGCCACTAGACTATTGTTAATCCCGGGGGGTACTTCCTTATAAGAGGCTACTAGGGATGTGCCGCTTGATGGGGTCGTATTTTCACGACTGGATTAACTATAATGGGGTCGCATTTTCAATAGAGTTACTAGAATGGGGTGGCACATTTTCGGATTTTTTGAGGTAAGACAGTTCTTCATATTTACGGTTAGCAAACGTACCAGAATGTTTGAACTGTAGATGAAAGGTGAAGTGTTCTTTATTCTAAAAAATGGGTCAATTCATAAAAATAGAGAGTGCCTAATTTGGGATCGCGAAAAATTACATATTTGCCCAAAAGTGGCTAAGATGGGGTCTATAATTGATTGCCCACAGAATAGACTATAATGGGGTAGGGGCTCTGAGAGGGCAGCGGCACGTACATACATACATACATACCCAGCAAACTCCCCCGGGTTGTTTACGCACTATAGGTTCTTATGCATGCATGATTCTTGATTTTGTAGCTTGTCAACGAACACAGCAATAAATATAATAGACTACTCTATTGATAAGATAATTTCCTGCCTTTCAATTTTAGTCAGACTAGCAAAAAGTGTTTTCGCGGCGTAACGATTCCAGATATAGGAATGCGTGACAGGCGCCATCATGTGATATCAGTTTTGTGTACACAGCGAAGACGATTCGATCGGATCAAGCGCTGTAAACAGGTACACCTGTAGTATTAATGCGTTCGGCTTAAAGGCTTTCCTTTCCTGCATGATGTTCTATTGTGTCAAAAGTCACAAAAAGTTTAAAATACTTAATACATTTGATGAATTATTGTGTTATTCGGGTTTTGCATTAAGACCTTCCATCGTGTATTGTAAACAGTCATAACAGAAAATAGGCATATTTCGTCGATCGACTGTGGTGATAAATCGTTAAAATCATAACATATTTTTATGTTTCTATGTTTTTGGACATTCCCTTTGTTGGTCTGAAAAGACATTTTGTTTAGAAGATGTGGCGATTTTGCACAGTGCTAGGATGAAATTATGCATTTTTGAGTCATTTCCTGCGTACAGCAAAGTGGGTGTAAATCAAAAAATATTTAGTAGACACGAGTTGTTTTTGAAGGGCCAAAATTGTGTCCATTACATCATTTAAGGACCAATTTAGTCCTAGGAAGTGAAAAAAGTCGTTGAAAGTGCAAAACTTTGAAGTGGTGAACTCGGCAATATGCGCTATTTTTACTCTTTGTCACTGCAAATATTTGGCCGCCGAGTGCTGAAGTGATTTTCCTCCCGAAAAATTTTATTTTGAAATATTTTCAAAAACTAATGCGGTTTCAATTACTTTTGGACTAAGATATATTCATGGGCAAAGTTTAAAGGAAATTGATTTTCCGACCCGAAACGCAGTGGACCGGTTTTAGGGAGACTCACTCTTAAATAGCTAAGCTTATAAAATGTAGTCACAACAGTGAAAATCTGAGCAGAAATCTGAGCAGAAATTAGACACAACTTACATATTTCGCTTCTCTCTCACTTAAAGAAGGTGAATTGAAAACTTTTTTACGAAAAGACGAGATTCTTGAATTACCGAGACGGCAAAATCCGAGCAAAATGTTCTCCGTAGTCCCGACTACGCGAAACAGCTCAACAACTCACCGTAGCCGCATGACTACGTGGGAAAAATGAACAGTCACGTGGTTTTTATCATGCGCAGTAGCACATTTATCCGTAGCCGTAGTCCGTAGTCGCCGTATCTTAAACTCCCTATTGTCAACCTCAACGAGGACGACACAGATAATTTTCAAGAA